ATAAAAATCTAAAAAAAAAAAAATGCTACCAAAGCCAAGAGACATGGAATTGTTCTCCCTAACTCCTTCAACCCAGGAATACCTCAGGCAAATCAATAAGTATCAATTTCCTTCTCTGTAAAAATATGACCTGCCTAGGAACACTTTGATATTTCCCTATCACATGTAGGACAGAGGTAGGATCTTTCCCCTGCCCCAAGACATTGGAAGTATGAAATGATCTTGGGTCAGTCCATTAACACCCTCTAATTCAAGTGCAAAAGCTTGTGGCTACTTTACCTGCAACTCATAGGTTCGCTGGGCATGGAGGTTGTCACGCATAATCACCTGAGATAAATGACTCTTGGGTAAGACTTTCTTCACAGCTGCTTCACTGCAGTTCATTAGGCTGGAATAGAGAAGGAAAAGTTATACAGTTTAGAGACTGCTGGTGGGTCCAGTACCTACTGACAGGTGTCCAGGCGGGGGAGGAGTTCAGGCCTCCCCAGTTTAGTCTGTATCTTTCTTTCTGTCTTAAAAGGCATCAAATTGGATGGGGTGGCACATGCCTGTAATCCCAGCACTGGAGAGGCTGAGGCAGGAGGATCCCTGCAAGCTTGAGGCCAGCCTAGGCTACAAAATGAGTTCAAAGCCAGCTTTAACTGCAAAGTGAGACCATGTCTCAAAAATAAAATAAAATAAAATAAAATAAAATAAAATAAAATAAAAGGCCAACAAACAAACAAAAAGAACTACATAACTACATATAAAACCTGACACTTTGCTGAAAGAAAATATAGAGGAAACACTTTAAGTCACAGGCACAGGCAAAGACTTCCTAAATAGGATTCCAATGGCATAGGGATAATATCAAGAATCAATAGGGAAGGGGGGCCTGCCCAGTAGCTCAGTTGTTTAAGTGCCTGCTTAAACAAAGCCCTCAAGCTCAAGCTTCTGTGGTTTGAACCCAGATAGTCACAGCAAACCAGAAATGCCCTAAAGGCATTTCGGGCCTGGGGGGGGGGAAGAATCAACAGGGCTGGGGAGATAACTCAGTGGAGTAAGTGCTTGCCTGGCAAGCACAAGGTCCTGAGTTTGATCCCTGGTACCACAAAAAAAA